ACTAAGCGTAGATGCCCCGAATGTAGTTGCTTGCAGTTGTAGAACAGCCTTGAAGGATCATCTGGCCCAACCTTTCGCGGGAAAGGGAGCCATGATGAGATGGTCTAGCACCCTGTCCAGTTGCGTCTTGATAACCTCCAGTGATGAGGATGCTACTATGTCCCTGGGAAGGTGGTTGCAGTGACTGGTTGTTCTCACTGTAAAAAATGTCTTTCTTATATAGAGATGAAACATCTCCTGGAATCAACACCTTCATACTCCTTGTGCTATAATGATAGTGGAGGAGGAGGTGAAAAAGGGCAATGTAATATCTTTTACATACTGAAATAGTTACAATGAGAATCTACCTAGTTTCACTTTTTTAGCAAGACAAATTTAATAGTAAAGTTTACTAGTTTAAAAATGGTTCTGTAGCGTAGTGGAGTGAAAATTCTTGGCTTCTCCATCCTCGGGAGGGAACACAAGTACAAAAAGAATACAAAGAAATTATTTAAAAGACCCAGTTTTTGGGTCCACTGTGTGGGTCTGGTTGAACCTGCAAGAACAGATAATCTGAGCCTTTTCCTGAGGGCTTCTCAGGAGGCTGCCAGGGAGTGTTGTGGCAGTCTGTCTGCTCTTCCCTGCGAGCCCTGAGGCCTTCCTGGTAGCGGCAGGCTGCTGGCATTTTTGTTTGTCATATGACTAAACTTTTAACAACTCTCTGACACATGCCTATCATACCAGATGATTGACATGCACTGGTCATGTGGCCGTGTAACTAGTCATGTTCATATGTGACTGACTGGGTGTCTTTCATGCAGTGATTAACACCTCTGGCTTTTGTCAGGCAGTGGAGGTGTCGCTGCATGTGTGCTGGGGAAGAAGCTGGGTTTTACTGCCCTTCAAGCTAAGTTAACTGCTCACTGGGATTTCCCATGTTTTCTAGGCAAAATAATTTATTTGTAAATTAAAAAACAAAACAACAAAAAAATTTTGATTTGTACCTTTCCTCTTCTGGCTTATGTTTACTTGTGGAACCTTGCCCTTCTTTTGCTTCCTGAATTGCCACTCGGCAAGTTGCAGAAAATTGCAAACGGGTGGAGTACGTTACCTGCTTCCCCCGCCCTGCTGAAATAGCACTGGTGAAACAGCTCCCTTTCCTTCTTCCCACAGTTTTCTGTTTAAGACTTAAATACAGGTAAATGTTGTCCTATTTTTTCCCCTTGTAGTATTACAACGGTACAGCATTCCTATCCACTTCTGCTGTTGGTATTTGGTAGCAATGATAATACGTGTCCTGTGTGTTTGCTTTGTTCTTGCAGTTTGCAACTTTTACATTGCATAAGTTAATTTTGCCAGCTAACAGAATTATGTGATATGTGAGTAGCTGCTAAATACATGATAATTTGCAACGTAAGCTTTAGGCTATCTTATCTATTGTTTGTGCTCCAGTAATGTTTATGGCCCCAGAGAGGATTGTGGCCCAACTCTGCTAGATGCTGAAAGTGTACCTAGATGGCAGCTGTGCTCAGATTTTTTGTCTGTGGTGTATTTGTTTCATCTCTGCAGCTGTGGAAGGGAGGATGTAGTTGTTAACTAAAAGCAATCCTTGCATCTCATTTAGCTGAAATGAAATAAAATCCAAGAGAACAAATGAGCCTGAATCCAGTCTTTATTTCCTCTGAATGGATAAATGATTACTTTTGACATAGCGTTAATTTCACTGTACAGTGGTGCATTAGGAAGTGCTGCCAAGATTGTTAGGGGGCTCTGTGATGTGTTGCAGCGACTTAGTCTACACTAGTAATGAGATGCATAGGATGAGTCATTTTCCATCATAACTTCTGATGATCTACACAACCTGATTAAATATTGAAATCTAGCAATGCAAAACTTTTTAAAGAATTTGTTTTATGTTCTGTCTCTCTGTCAGATACCATGCTTATGTGGAAGTGCCCCGTGCCTGCTCTGCCGATGCTGCCCCAGTGGAAACAACTCCACCATAACTCGGCTGATTTATGCATTCTTTTTACTTCTTGGCGTGAGTGTTGCCTGTGTGATGTTAATACCAGGCATGGAAGAGCAGCTGAAGAAGGTCAGGTTGCTTCTTTGCTAGCATGTTTGGTAGAACAAATGTCACAGATAATTGTAAATGACATCTGGAAGGCATGGGCTTTATCTGGAAATACGTAATTGTGCTGCCACCTGTGCTTCACAGTCACCATTAATTTGATTGTAGATCAAATAAACAAAGAACTTGTGGGACAATCACTGCATAGATAAAAAGCACTATTTAGAAATAAAATTGCACCTCTTCTTTAACAGCTCAGAGCAGAAAAAAAAAAATCTTATATCAAACAAGAAAATGTAATTGATATATGGGGGGTTTTAAACTATATATTATTGAGGTGCTTGTATTTGTGCCACTTGATTGATTTTGATTGCTATTAATAAAAGAAAAAATAACCACAATCTAAGATGTCTTCTAGTTGCATTATGTTGTACTAGTTAAAATTCTATTTTAAAGTCTGCAAATGCATAACAAAATGTTTTTCACTAATGATAGTAGCATACTTTTCACTAAGGAAATTAGGAAGTGCTTATAGGATTTTATAGTTTATTAGTTATATGAAGATACAATAGTGCATGTAAAATTAGAGAGTGATAATTTGAGTTATGGGAGAGCTTATAGGTTCACTGAACTCAGGTTGCATGTGCTTTGGTTTTGTTAGTCTTCATTTTGCTGTCTTTAATTTTTTTTCTAGTAGATAGTAACTTCTGTTAGGCATGCTTTTGATTTTCTTCCCCCCAAATGATTAATCTGTAAAGCTTATTTCAGAGTGGTATAGTAACCACATTAGAGCTTCAGTGAGAGCTATGTTAGTCACCTAGGAAAGAAAATTACAGCCTTCTGGAGTATGATTTGACTGCAGAAAGATGTTGCTCATGTGACTGGAAGGGATATTCTCAGCTGTTTTCATATGGAAGTTACAGATACTTCTAATTAACAGTGATGTTACTTTTTGGGGGGAGGCTGTTTCTGTTCTAAAGAGTTGTAAGCAGGCTGCCTTCTACTAGGTATGTCAGGAACCTGGTAGTAACTGTCAAGTGAAATTTACCAAATCCTAGATCTTTTATTTGTCTCCCGATTCAGATCAACAAGTGAAAACTACATTTCTTTGAGAAGTTCTGAAATTTCTAATAACAAAAAAAACCCCTACTGTTAATAAGATTTAGTTTTGTTTTTTTGTTTAGAATTTGCCTATGTGGGATTTTTTTTCCTTGAATGTGTTTAACATTCTGATCGGACTGTAACTAACAATACAGCCTTTCAGTATCATATTTTCTAGAAATGTTAATAGTTGCATAATGTTACAATATTAATGAATTGTATATTAATAAATTGCTAATATGCATTTACTCACAGGAGGCGTTTTACAGATCACTGAAGTATCTTGTGTTTATCACAGATTCCTGGATTTTGTGATGGAGGGATGGGAACAACTATTCCTGGAGTGCACGGCCACGTGAATTGCGATGTACTAGTTGGTTACAAAGCTGTATACCGTGTGTGCTTTGGTATGGCCATGTTCTTCCTTCTCTTCTCCTTATTGATGATCAAAGTGAAGAGCAGCAATGACCCAAGAGCAGCAGTGCACAATGGGTAAGATACAGAAATGAGAACCGAGATGGGCGGTGTGGCGTGTGTATGAGATACAGCTACTGTGAAAATAAAGCCTGTGGCTGAGCATGCTGGTCAAATTTACTGTTCCACAAACAATGAATTTCATAGTAGCTGGAGGAGTGTTGTTGCAGTAGAGGGCATTCAAAGTTATTAGAGTTCTTAGCCATGGCAGATTAATTTTTGTAAGAGGAAAAGATACACGTGACTGTCACTTTTCAGGGAGCCTGAACTATGACAATGGATAATCTGTGCAGAGATTTCCCAAGATGAGGGATTCTGCTTTTGTCCAAAGATGACAAAATTCAGAGATGAATAATAGTACTAAGTTTCATTCCACTGAGATTTTTTCAGCAAATAGAAAGATGAAAAAGCCTCATCTGTCCTCTAGGAATTACATTCCTCTTAACTTTGATGTCTGTAAGGGCTTGCTGTTTTCTCAACAGTTTTATTTTAAAGATGATAACAGTTATATCTCTCTATATAGATCTATAACGTATCCCTTCCCCCTCTACTATCTTTTCTTCAGTCTCCCCTCTGCTTAAAGAAGGGTTATGTATGTAGTAAAGTGAGTTATGTATTTAGTTTCTGAGCTTCCCGGTAAATTTTTCTTTTCTATTTCATTATAGTTAGGATTATCAGATGGAAGATAATAGTGGAATTTCAGCTTGCGGGTTGACACAAGTGGTAGTTTTCATCCAGGCTCAGCCTATGTGTAATGTAGCTTCTGGAACCAAGGAAGTGTAAATGTTTATAATAGGGCATGGCACTAAAAAGCATAAAACCATTTATGGTGCCCAGTCTCGGTGGTCACAGTGATTGCTTAGACTACTACTTTTTCAATATGGCTATATTTAACAGAAGCTATGAACAGATAAGCCATAAAAATGAAGAAGCAATTTTATTTTCTATTCAATATAATAAGATGAAACATTTCTAGCATAAAACGAGAAAAAACTTCAAATTATTTCTGTAGGGGAAAAGAAAATAATAAAGACTGAGCAGAATATTGCTTTGTTTACTTCTCTTGTTTGTTTTGGCCTAAAGAAAAAGAAGCTGGGTACAGTATTAAGATGTGTTAGCAGCAGTAACTCAGTTCAGCCTTTCCCTCTGCCCTGCTTTGTTCAGGAGAGCGTACTTGTTACAAGCAAGAAGAAAATGGTTCAGGTACATTCTATATCAACAATTTGTGGGTTTTTTTACAATAAAAGACACCTTTTATGTGATGTAGAATCTTTTTACCTAAAACCACTTCTTCAGTGTTTGGGATCTTCTTGATACCCTTATCTGGAGTACAAATTTTGGTGCTATTTATGCAGCCCATAGCAGTTTACTCTTCTTAGCCAATCTAGTGTCAGCACTAGGATAAAAGGAAAAATGATACTCATTAACTGTTACTGGTAAAATATTTAATAGTGTTACTTCCAACGCTTCTGTAATAACTAGTTGCTTCAATAGTATGCATTACAGGTAGCTTTATGAAAACCATGGCTTTTGATTTTTGAAATTGTATCTACCTTCAGTAATACTTTGCAATGTCATCTTTCTGTCAGTGATTTGAAATAATCAGGATATTAGGTTTTCCCATGTATGTGTACTAACTTTTTCATATTTGCATGCAAGTTAAGCCCAGTAACGTGGTCCAGTGCCAATGTTACCTTCTTCGCTTTTCTAACAGCAGTCAGAACGGTTTCTTGCCTCAGGTTAATAATGATGATAATAGCAAAAATCAGTTCTAATGTATTCACAGGATTGTTGCTGGCTTGCATAGAACGCATAGCAACTGTAGGTGTTATTTCAGATGAGTATTGTTTTCGGCTCTCATGAACATTGTGTAGGTAGAGTGTTAAGGTCCCTTAGTCTGGAGTTAGAGATGACATTTATATGAACTTGAACCTGTTCTTATTTCTATGATTGAGAATGACATTGATTTAAAAAAAAAAATAAAATTCCACACGTGGATTCAAAAACTAGTTTTAGGGGGATATGTATTACACTATAAATGCTATAAGTTAATTCAGCTTTCAAACTGGCTTTAGTCACTTCTCAATATCACAGTGAATTAGTCTGTTTTTCCCATATTCTGCACTTCTGTCATCTCACATAGTTCCTCTCCACACAATTTGAATTTATTCCTCTGGTCACCATCACTGGATTCTAACAGCCAGAAGAAGAGATTAAACTTGTTCAAAGTAGGGGAAAAATGGGAAGGGATAGAAAACTTGAAAACCGTGCAAATGTTTGACATCGTGGGGGTGTGGTACATGTCTTTGTGCTATATTCAGTTTTGAAGTACACGTAGATGCTGCCGTGCCTATATTTGGAGCTGCCTGTCACTATGATCAGAAAAAATAGTCTTTACCTTCTTACAGTTTTGTTGGCATAACTTTTTGATTTGAAGTTCCCTATGCAGGGTATATTGGTACGCAGTCTGTATTTGGGGTGAGTTTCGTGAATCTTTGATGGAAGATACTTCCTTGTCTGCTTTCTAGGAAACATCTAATCTGTTTTGTTTGTCCATGAGCACATGGCTTTTACTGGGAAAAAAAATCCAATGCTACTGCACTGGAACAAGGACTGAGAATATGATTGTGTCCTTTCTGTGAAGGCTGAATCCTTTGCTTTTGTTGTGATAAATCCTTGTCAGACGTAGGCCTAAAGAGTCTGAAGTTAGGTGGGAAGAATCCAGGCTTTTCTACATCTCTCTCTTGTAGGAAATGAATTGAAACTGGTAGGGAACTCCAGCATAATGTGTTCTGTCATTGTAGGCACCAACCAGATCTCCTACCTTTTTGGTTTTGATATTAAAAACAGGTAGGGATTTTTTTAACCCATTTTTTTGATATGCAGGCAATTCAATAATCTCACTGCTCTAGTTAAAAACCTTCGTAATAACCTCACAATTATATTCCACCCTGGCTTCATTTGTAATACATGAGTGAGATATCTTTGGGAAATGTGTCAAACTCTGTGTCAATCTAGCACAGTTTAAGCATGATTTTCGGAGAACAGAAATCTTGGGCAGATAAAATAAGGTTTTTATCCTACTTCAAAAGAAGTGAGTGAATGAGTGCATTAAAAACCAACTCTTTAGGATGTGCATTTTGTGTACTTTGAAATTTTTGTGAATTAGATCAGACTTCAGCAGTTGCCTGACTATTTTTTTTTTTTTTTAATTTCCCTTTAGATTCTGGTTCTTTAAATTTGCAACAGCACTTGCAATTAGTGTTGGAGCTTTCTTCATACCAGAGGGACCATTTACAACTGGTAAGGGAATATTGTCTTCCACTGTGTCATGGTGCAATCATAACTGGTTTTAAAAAAAAAAACTAAGTGCATGCTGGTGTCTTGTAGTTTTAATTGTAGCTGTGTAACTATAGCACTTTTCTGTGTTCAGGGACATTATTATCTATGGTTCTGAAGTGATTTTGTTTTATTTCTCTTTTAGTGTGGTTTTATGTAGGTATGGCTGGAGCATTCTGCTTTATTCTTATTCAGCTGGTCTTGCTTATTGACTTCGCCCACTCCTGGAATGAATCTTGGGTTGAAAAAATGGAGGAAGGAAACTCAAGATGCTGGTATGCAGGTAAAGGACTGGACTACAGTCAAGTTTTAAATTTCATTGGGCATTATGTTAAATAAATTATTCACAGAGTAATGCATTTTACCAGAGTGCAGAAGGGCTACTTCGTGCATAAGTATCATTTTCTCAGATTGTGTAGTTCAGCTCAGTTGTCTTGCTGTCCTTTTGATGTCAAGTTAAATAAGGGGAGGGCAGGGAGAGGGGCAGCAGCCTCTGAGCAATAAGATCTAATCCCTGGGCGCAAGGCATCAGTTTATAATAGCAGAGAAGTGGCAATTGTAGGGTTTTTTGGTTGGTTTTTTTTTTCCAGCCACAGGTTTTGTTGCACCTTAGTGCTGATTAAAAATGAACTAGCCTGTTACTGCTTTGTGTTGAGCATAAGCATCTCAATTGTTTTTGGTTTCTGTCTGCCAGTCACTCATTCTTTGAAGGTATACACTGAGTGAAAGCCCAAGATAGCGAAGCAGAGTACAACTCATATCACTGGAGAAATGATATGTTAATTTTAATAAAGCATTTCAGATGTGACAATTTAGGTGTTTCAAGAGACAGCACAGCCTGTCTTCGTGCAATGGTCACTTCACTCTTTCATGTTTTTAATAAGATGGAATTTGGAAAAAAGATTTTTGGTTTTTTTTGCTTTTATTGGAGAAGTAGTTCTTCAGTTTCTTTTTTAAGCTTTTAGCCAAAGTATATGTAATATAACTGTATTCCTTCATACTTGCTCTTCTTGGTTGCTGGTAGAGCACTGGAGAATCAAGTATGGCTTCAGGCTTCCCATTTATTGTGTTCTTTCTTTTTAACACCTCAGAGTATTGAGAAGAACTTATTTCCTTTACATTTCAGTGCCCAGAGCTGCTCTCTAATTGTCATTGTATACCGTATCCCAAACCTGCTAATCATGCATTATTATTTCAATTTTAATACTCTCCATTATTAACCAGTTTAACTCTGTTTTTGTCTCTTTTCACAGCTCTGCTGTCAGCTACAGCTGTCAATTATCTGCTGTCTCTAGTAGCTATTGTCTTGTTTTATATTTATTACACTCATCCAGAAGGTTGTTCTGAAAACAAGACGTTCATCAGTGTTAATATGCTGTTGTGTATTGGCGCTTCTGTAATGTCAATTCTGCCGAAGATTCAGGTATAGTTTTAATTCTGTTACCTTTTTAGGGTTTTTTTTGTGTTATCAGTCCCAGAAACCTATAATATAATTGTGCCTGAGACCTTTAATTGCCTAACGTTGCTGTTTCATGACTACTTTGTATAGGAATCTCAGCCAAGATCTGGTTTGCTGCAGTCTTCTGTGATCACAATTTATACAATGTATTTGACTTGGTCAGCCATGACCAATGAACCAGGTAAGTGTAGTAGCAGTATCTGACTTTTTGGGTAACCAGTTCAGCAGTAACTGGTATCTTCACCTTTGTGCAAGGCCATATTAGAATGGGGCACTATAACGCATGCAAGTTAGAGGCAAGGCTCGTAAGTCTTCTCTCCCTCCACTCCAACTTTCTGTAATAATACTGAATAAATAGTTCTTACAAAGATAATGTGTTTTTCAATTGCTCTTATGTTTATCGTATGGAAGAATTTCTACCTATTATTGGCAGGATTGCAGTATTCTAAAGCTTAGATTTTGCAGATTACCAGAACTCTTACAAGGTGTCTGGGAGATTCATCTCGTTACCAAGTTTCAGGTTTCTTACCTGGTGACTGAGATGCTACTGATTATATTTTTCTGAACTGAGGATTTTAAAAAAATTTATTAATAAATGTTTTCAGTGTTTCTTGTGTCTGAAAACAGCTGAGCATCTAAAAAAAAAAAATCAATTCAGAAGTTCTGGTGATTAAAATAAACTGCCAAATATTGATTTTGGTGTTTTTAATTGGGTCTCTGGCCCTTTTACCTTAATTATGGACAATCTTCTGTGTAACAGCATACATACAAGTCATATCTAATTCCTGCAGTAATTATGGGGAATAAGATTGTCTGCTACTTTCAGCTGTTTAATCTGTGTTATCTGTGGATGCTGTGGGTTGGGAAGTGTTGATAATACGAAACTGACTTTGTAGCATTCTTTTCCAACTCGGAGATGACTCTGGTACCCCACCTATAGAGTATATGTTTGTCAAACTTTTTTTCTAGCAGTAGAATTTCTAAAGCTTAATATGCAGAGCATTTTTGTTTTGTTGCATCTAATTATATGAGATGGAACAGTAAAGCTGTTGATGCGTATCTTATATAAGTTTAAAATCCTTTTATCTGCTCAAAGAGATAGATTTTTATGCCACGTACTGTCAATTGCCTGCTTTAGAGAGACTTAATAGGCTAAAATTAGGTTCAAAACTTTTTTACTTCAAGACTGTTATAGTCACAAAGTTCTTTTCTATGGAAATGTACTATTAAATATTTGTTCTGTTCTTGTTTTATGTAAGTTCTAATGTAATTTCCCCCACAGACAGGCGCTGTAACCCAAGTTTGCTGAGCATCATTGGTTACAACAGCACCACCATTCCAACCCAAGGTCAGGTAGTTCAGTGGTGGGATGCACAAGGAATTGTAGGACTGGTTTTGTTTTTGCTGTGTGTTCTCTATTCAAGGTAAGATTCCTTTAAAAAAATTCCTATTAATGTGTATTACTTCCCATTGTCAGATACTAAATTTGTATTTATTTGGGTAACTGTACTGTGCCCTTTCCTGTCAAATACAGCATCCGAACATCCAACAACAGCCAAGTTAACAAGCTGATGCTGACCAGTGATGAATCAACACTGATAGAGGATGGAATGCCCAGGAGTGACGGCTCCCTTGAGGATGGAGATGATGTTCACCGAGCCATAGATAACGAGAGGGATGGAGTTACTTACAGTTACTCCTTCTTTCATTTCATGCTTTTCCTGGCATCACTGTATATCATGATGACGCTTACCAACTGGTACAGGTATTTACATTTGATAATCTGTGGTGCTAATAATGAGCATACAAGATGCTATCTTTTACTGAACAAGGAGGCATAAGTTGTGTGCTGTGAGGAATGTAGGTCTTGAAGGGAACTTCTCAAGGGAAGTATACTGTGTGATCTATATTAAATGAGTTGAAAATTGGAAATTGGAAAACTGGAAAATTGAAAATTTGAAAATTGGAGTAGCTAATCTTGTTCACAAGTGCCTGTCATGTTTTCTAGGTTAATTCTCATGATTTACAAGACTGCTGAAATATGTTCTGCTGAAGTGAACAGGATAGAGTCTTAAATTCTATAACAACTAAAAATAAGTAAACACCAGGCCCATGTTTTGTACAGAGAGCTGGAAAAAGGAGAGATAGGATGTGTTATATCAGCAGGCTGAGGGAGAGGTGATCCTTCCCCTCTACATGGCACTGGTGAGGCCACACCTGGAGTGCTGAGTCCAGTTCTGGGCTCACCAGTACAAGAGAGACATGGACATACTGGAGAGAGTCCAGAGAAGGGCTGCAAAGGTGATGGAGGGACTGGAGCAGCTGTCACATGAGGAGAGGCTGAGAGAGCTGGGACTGGTCAGCCTGGAGCAAAGAAGGCTCAGGGGAAACTTACCAGGGTGCTCAAATACCTGAAGGGAGGGTGCAAAGAGGATGGAGCCAGGCTCTTTTCTGTGGTGCCCAGTGACAGGACCAGAGGCAGTCGGCACAAACTGAAACACAGGGGGTTCCCTCTGAGCATCAGGAAACACTTTTTCATTGAAAGGGTGACCAAGCACTGGCACAGGTTGCCCCCGGGAAGGTTTTGGAGTCTCCATCCTTGGAGATATTCAGAAGCCATCTGGGCATAGTCCTGGTTAGCTGGCTGTAGGTGGCCTTGCTTGAGCAGGGGTGTTGGACCCGGTGACCTTCAGAGGTCTCTTCCAACCTCAGCCATTCTGTGAGGGGGCCTGGTGGAAGGAAATTAGGTTGTCTGCTCCCTGAAAAAATCCTCACAATAAAATAGTCCCCCTATGTGTGAATTGTTATGTTAACAGCTTGAGCAGATGTTCTTCAGAATTTATAAATTATGGTCTCTAATAATTCGTTGAAGGACAATTTCTATCAAAATAGCAACACTAGAAAGGTGTTTCCTTCAAAAGTACCTCTTAATAGATAGTCCTGCTGTGGATTTGATTTGTGGCCCTGCTTGGGTCAACATGACATCAAGATTATGAATTCTTCTAGGGGTTGTCTTTTGGCAAGGTAAAATGCATTATTTGTACCTATAAATGCTATCCATTTCCTGCCTTTCCACAGATTTGCTTAGAGATTCCTTGTAATTTCTGCTTCTTGACAGCTTCTCTTACTAAATCTTTTTTGGGCCGCTGTTGCTTTCCACCTTCCTGTGACACCAGCTTACAAATGGTGTTCTTGTAGAGAGTGGTGTGAACTGCCGGGAAGAAGGGTAGAGATGTCCTTCGAGGTGTGGAGCTGCAGCGCTGCAGTGAAAACGATCTACTGTGAAAACAGTGTTGAAGAGTGGCTTACTACACGAGTATGTCATATTGAAAGAAAAATTGCAAGTTATCTTTTTTTCTTTTCCTTCTTTCACAGTCCGGATTCTTCTTACGAGACAATGACCAGCAAATGGCCGTCTGTCTGGGTGAAGATATCTTCCAGCTGGATTGGCATCGTGCTGTACGTGTGGACTCTGGTTGCTCCGCTGGTTCTTACAAACCGTGACTTTGACTAAGCTGTGCTGCTCTCTAGGGAGATTGTGCTAGCTTCACCCTGTCTTTGAAACAAACAGTATTCCAGATCACAGCGCAGTTGTAAATAGGTGTGCGTGTGCTATCCATGTAGTATACCCTGCTTTATGCTGCATGATTACCTTGAATCATGTCTTTTGTCATTTCACTAAATGACTTTTTCTAGCTGAGCTCAGTGACGATTGCTGTAATGATGGTTTCCGTAGGATTACTCCTCAATTGAGTGCTTCGGGAGCATTAGATGCAAGATCAAGACCTTTTGGAAGTAGGGTTTTTTTTTCCCCCTCAGTTGCATTAAATAGTTGTAGGAAAAAAGGTGCAAATGCTAATTAGGGTAACAAACCAGTATTAGATCAGGCTTTGCAAGCAAAGGAGGGGCTGCCTTTGATCCCTGTTGCCTTGATTCCAAAGTAAGTCTTGAGTAAGCATTGTTCGACTCAAAACTGTGCAGGGTGGAGTTTAGCGGACACCTTGCAGCATTTTGGCGCGAACAGCCCGACCTTTTCCTGCACCGAGGGCGGCGACACCTTTAGCGCAGATGGTAAATGGGGAAACCTGCACCTGGAGCTGCCGAGGGGCTGCTGCCCGCCGTGGGGCTGTGGGTCTGGTGTGTCCCGTTGCAGATGGGGGACAGACGCCCTGGTATCGGGTGCTCAGAAGCATGTTTTTAAGGCACCTGTTTACAATGTGCATCTATGTATCATTGGGTTTTTTAAAGTAGTTTAAATGGGATAGCCGTGCTGTAATTTATTGCTGTTTTGTGTGCCACTTTCTTTCTTGGCTAAGCTACAATCACAGAGTTTGCAAGGAGCCGAGTGGTGAACGCTGTGTAAGCCCTTTAGAGGAATTTCTTCAATATTGTGGGTAAAAGAAGTGGAGGAAAAGGGGCACTGAAATTACAGAAGCTAAAGGAGGCTTGCATTAACTGAGGCTTCGACAAAAGTGTTTCTTAATACATTTGGGGCTTTGAATTTTGAAATCTTTTAATGTATTAGGTATTTTGCTTGTTGTCCATTGCCAGAGATGGACTTGAGCCTAGAAAGTCTAAATCTAGGCACGGGGTAAGATATTAATCCGTTTGATTAAAATGCTGTATAGTTCCTGTGCAATTCTGAAATCTTAAATGCTTTTGTGCTTGCTGCTTTGTAACTGAAGTACGTAAGCCGTGTTATTTATAGCTCTCTGTTACTTGCTACGACGGGAGCCTAGAGCAGCCTGCCTGGGAGTGACCCTGGAGCCCCCGGCAGAGGCCGTGCCGATCCGTTCCCGGGTGTTTATACTGGTACTTCCCCTTCCCGATCGTTCTCTAAGCTCTTCTTTTAATTCTGCACCTAAACGCTGACCGTTACTGCAGAAGTCTGACATGTCAGTCAAACTTGAGATGGCAATGGAAGGATTACTAACGGCTTGTAATAATTTGGAATATGTTGTTACCTTATTAATAAATAAATTTGGATGAAGACATCCGATGACTTTTGATGTCTCGTACTGCTGCCCGAAGTGGATCGCGTAGGGTTTTATGTTGTATTCTCACCTTCTGTTCCTGGGACGCTGTACAGCACTTGCCAGCGGAGCAGCAGCAGCCGGCAGCGCTGCGGGGCGCGCTTGCGCGGCGGCGAGTTGAGTTCCTGGCTCTTGGGGAGCTCACGCGTAGCCCTGGGGAGGTTTTCCAATGGTTCTGCTCTCTGTGCCTTTGCATCCGTCTCTCTGAAAACACGAACGTGCTTCGTGCTTGTAAGGGCACTCCTGCTGCGCTGGTATTGTGCCTGTGTTTAAGTTTGAGTAAAACACCTGAACACCGGTTTTAATACAGCAGTTCCCGAGTCCTGTAACAGGCAGTGAGTCGCTGCATGAGGAAGATGAGCAGACAGCTGTGCCTGTGGCTTCAGCTCCTGGTACAAGTGGCTGGACTATCCTTTAAAAAAAAGGGAAAAAAAAGGGAATCGCGTGCAGTGCCAGAGTTGTGGGAGGTGCTTTGGCTGTTGCATGTATAAAGTTACTAAAATCCCGTTTCTCCCTTCACTGGAACACCTTACATCAAAACTCCCTCTCTGCAGCTTTGAGGGCGGAGAGGGAAGAAAACTTTTATCTTTGGTTACAGTTTAACTTACTGTTTATATTGCATCAGGAGCTTAGGGTGATGGGATTTAGTTAAAAGTGTGTCACCTGCACCTTCACCTAGTGTTGTAGTAACCCCGCTGGCATTCAGCTGTGTAACACAGCTACAGTCAGTTCGCTTGGGTCAGCAGGGAAGGCTTTGGTAACAGCAACAAGGGGAACGCCTTCGGAGCGGGGGTGGAGCTCTCCCACTGGAAGGAGCGCTCCAGGGCTCTGCCGCAGTTCTCGGTAAGAAAACAAAGGGGAAAACATTCTTTTTAGCACTAAAGGAAAACAGAGTTTGCTGCATTAGCCACTTGTTTTGGAGGCCTACAAATAAACCTTGAAGTTTGGAGGTAATGAAAGTGTTTTTCCAATGAACATCCACAGCTACTAAGGCGTGAAGAACACAGGCTGTTAAGCCCGCATCCACGCGGCAGATGGAATAAGAGACGGCAAGTATCACACTTAAGTAACATTTATTTTACCAGAGTAGATGGTCCAAGTTAAAAGTACTCATGCAGTCAAGGGGCCTGGCGGCTGTGAAGAACTTTTCCCCCGTTTGTGCTATGTGTGAGCACTTCCGCTGAAGTGAACGTAAGGCAGAACCAAGATAGAGCAAGGTACAGGCACTTTGTTCCCAGTTCAAGCAGGGAAAAAGAAAGCCTACATCAGGTCCTGGTCCCCCCCACCCCAAAAAAGCCTCATCTTTGTTAAACAAAATGTTGTAAAAAATAGAAAAAACCCAAGATACAGAAAGTCAGTGCTCCCTAGCCATACACTACTAGTTTACGTCATCATATGTAAGACCAGAAGTATAAGAAATCATAAATCAAAGCTTACTATTAACAAGCGCTCAGTGACCCGGGCTCTTTAGCGACATGTGTAATACCAAGTATGTGACAGCAGCGCGGTAACAGTCTGACTTGGTATTGCCAACCGCGTCTGACCGCTTGTCTAACCACGCAGTTAAACACTTGCTTGTAGGAAGTAACAGAGGAAAGGTATCGTAGATGCCACGTTATCTGGTTACATAAAACAGTGATTTACAAAAAACTCATATACCAAACAATATTCTAAATAAATAGTTCATCTTCATGACTATGTACAGAGTCCCCATTACATCAGTTATCCAAGAAGGGCATGTCCGTGTCCATGGGTGCCGGGGCAAGTTCACATAGATAGAACAGCGTGGCTTCGCTCGCTTCCGCCTCTGTCAGCGGCTCCCCCCCCCCCCCG